GAGGGCTTTGCCATGGCGCCGGGGGGCTGAGGGGGTCGGGGCCTGCGCCCTGGCGCTTGGGGCGCGCCGGGGCCGAGAGCCTGGCCCGGGCTCACGGCGTGGCCTTCGGGTGCTGACCGTGGGGCCCGGGACCTGCACCGCGGCCGCGGTCTTTGCCAGGGTCTTGAGGCACCCAACAGGAGCTTGAGGTGTTCACCGTGGCCAAGGTCTTCACCATGGCCTTGAAGCACTCGCCATGGTCTTGGCCTTTGCCGTGGCCCCAAGGCCCTCACCGGGAGCTTGAGGTGTTCACCATGGCCAAGGCCTTTGGCAAGGTCTTCACCGTGGCCTTGAAGCACTTGCCGTGGTCTTGGTCTTTGCTATGGCCTGAGGGCCGTTGTAAGAGCTCGAGGTGTTCGCCATGGCCAAGGCTTTCGCCGTGGCCTTGAAGCACTCACCATGGCCATGGTTTTCACCATGACCCTGAGGCCCTCAGTGGGAACTTGAGGTGTTCACCATGGCCAAGGCCTTCGCCATCACCTTGAAGCACTCGCCATGGTCACAGTCTTTGCCATGGCTCCAAGGCCCTCAACGGAAGCTTGAGGTGTTCACCATGGCCAAGGCCTTTGCCAAGGTCTTCGTCACAGCCTTGAAGCGCTTGCCGTGGCCACAGTCTTCGCCATGGGCCCAAGGCCCTGACTGGGATCTTGAGGTCTTCGCCATGGTCAAGGCTTTTGCTAATGTCTTTGCCATGGCCTTGAGGCGCTTGCCATGGCCAAGGACTTCACCATGGCCCCAAGGTCCTCACTGGCAACCTGAGGTGCTCACTGGGGTCCCGAGGGTCTCACCATGGCCAAGACCCTTGCCAAGGTCTGCATCATAGCCAAGGTCTTTGCCATGGCCTTGAGATGCTCACCATGGCCAAGGCCTTTGCCATGTCCCCGCGACCTGTGCTACGGCCGAGGTCTGTGCCGTGGCCCTGAGGCCGTTGCTGGGATCCTGAAGTGCTCACCGCGGCCAAGGCCTTCACCATGGCCCTGAGGCCCCATGCCGCAGCCCTGGTGCTTTCGTCATGGTCGTGGCCCTTGCCACAGCACCGAGGTGCTTGCCATCACGGAGGCCCTTGCTGTGGACCTGAGGTGCTCACCATGGCCAGGTCCCTCGCTGTGGTGCTCACTGTGGCCCAGAGGCGATGGCCGTGGCCCTGAAGTTGTTGCTGCGGCTCTTGCCATGGCCGTGGGGTGCTTGCCAAGGCCGTGTCCTGGAGGCACTCGCCCTTGCTGTCAACGTGGCCACGAGGCCCTCGCTGTGGCCTTGAGGGCTCCCCATCACCCTCAGCCTGGCCCCGAGGTGCTTCTTGTCACCCTCTGCATGGCCCTGAGGCACTCGCCACGGCCCCGAAGCGCGTGCCATGGCCGAGGCGCTCGCCACGGCCCCGAGGTGCGTGTCGTGACCCTCACCGCCGACTCTGTCGCGGTCCCAATGCTCGCACCGCGACCACGACCCTCTCTGAGGCCCCCGTGGTAGCTGGCCGGGGGCCCCCGGGTGCCTCTGGTTGGAGAGGGCCGGGGGCCCTTGCCGTCACCCCGCACTGCCGCCACCCACCGCTGCCCTTTCCTTTTCTCCCCTCCCAGGTGCTCTCGAGCCGGGGCGAGGGGATGAGGTGCCCCCCTGCCGCGTGGTGTGCCGAAGCGGCTCTTTAGATCCTCCCCGGCCCAAGCCTCCCCTGCCATGGATGCCTCGGGGGCTCTTGCTTCGGCTCCCTCCTCCGCGGCTCCCTCGGGCTCCCGCAGCCCCATGTTCCCCCCAGGAGCTGACAGAGAGGAGTGGGGACCGAGGTTCAATTGTGCCCCTTCCACCTCTGCCGCAGCCTCGCAGGCGATGCCAGCGTCTGGCCGGAAGAGGAAGGCCAACTTCTCCAATGACGAGACTGAGACGCTGGTCTGGAATGTGGTCCGGCATTTCAGCGCCCTGTATGGGTCTGAAGCCCTGCGGGCTCACCCCGTGCGGCGGAAGCAGCTCTGGACCCAAATCCAAAGCCGCGTCAACTTCCTGGGCTACACCGAACGCTCCATCGACGACCTCAAGCACAAGTGGCGCGACCTGCGGTTGGACGTCAAGAAAAAGATCACCTCCAAGAAGCACCTGCCGATGAACCGCGCCGGCGGGCCCCTCCACAAGCCGCGCCTCACGCCCCTGGAGAATGGTGGCTTTTCCACCTTCTTGCAGGCCAACCCCGACTCGGGGGCCCCAAACATCTTGGG